GATTCAGCTCGACAGCGTAACTGTCGGGGGATCACATGACCCTGACAGAGTGACTCATGGGAATGCCATGTTGCCTCTTGGGATGAGGTACTGTGGCCTGAGCAGTGGGCACAAATCGGTGGAGCAGCTCTACTGTGGTAAATTACAAATCAGTTCGGAAATGTCCTCACTAATGGGATAAATGAAGAGCGAGGGGAAGGAAAGATGTCTCTGAGCTGCCTTATAGAAATCTGTGTACTTCCATCCTCTAAAAAAAGACCTGAGACGTGGATGAAAACATCCCGTCCCAGAATAGAGAGCAGCGTATATGCTGCATACCTATGAAACAGCTTGTTCCCACTGTGAGGAGAACACAAATGATCAATGGCAACGTGATTTCACTGTTGTCAGGTTGTCTGACAGATTGTTGTGTAACGCACATTTAAAAAACAAAAACCACACAAGGACCTTAACATTGCCAAAGCAAAGTCTATAAGCAGTGCTACTAATATTAATAGAAAAGCAGAGAACATTATTAGGCCTCAAGGCAAAAATGTCATGCACGAGGAAGCATTTCAAATCTCTGGTTTGGACTGCTTTTTCCTTATATGACATTTACGGCAAAATGTCCACAGGCTACAATTACACATAGCCATCATCCAGTGAGGAATGTTTGCAAAGCTGCCGTCAATGTAAACTAGCACTGCCCCCCGTGCTCCCTGAAATAGAGCCAGTGTTGTAGTATTGTCTCAGGAAACATCAGGTAAAGGTGAGGATCGATGACCCCGTCTGGCTTCTGCACTACTGGCCGAGCTGTTAAAGTGCAAAATGAGATTAGACGAGAATAGATGTGATTACGCGGCACCTTAAGTTCTCTCCTCGCCCGCACAGAGGGACATTACATTAGGGTTGAGTGGATAACTATCCCATTACTGAATGTAACTTTATAACACTTGGAGCTGACGATGATCGGTCTTTTGGCCACTTCATTCTTTTTATGCCCTGTGGAACACAGCAGAGAGGGATCGAATAGAGCAGATTTTTTTTATTTATTTACAGAGTTATGAGGATTACTGTTAATCGTGGGAATAAACCTGATAAGACTAACTGTCTTTTGCATTATTATTCAATTTACATGATACTTGCTCATGAGACTGGCTGATAATTCAATATTTTAGCTCAGCAAGATTCTAATTTGTATTCTAACGATTAATATGAATAATATAAAAACATGTTTTAATTGATGGGATGAACTTTTTTTCTATGTCTTTGGTAAATATCACATATTAATGTCAGCCATTATTACAAACGAATGGGGAAAAAAAACACCGGGTGACTATTTTTACACTTCCTTAAGACAATTTGAACACAGAGAAGAGAAGAAGGAAGAAAACATGTAACTTTGTACGTATGTTTGAGGACGCATCTCTATATTAATCAGTCACCATGAGGCTAATAGGTCAGCTGTGCCCATAAGCTTGTTGATAACCCTATGTAATGGGTATTTATAGGTTATTGCTAGCATAAGCTCGGCTAGGCGGCCAGTCATTCACTTAGTAAGCAGCTGAACTCTTTAACTATGTGAAACAGAAGAGGACTTCAGTCACAGTGGTGAACTTTTTGGTGAATTCAGGGGATACAGTGCTGTGCATCTATCAGCTGTAACATGGTACTTTCCTAATTAATAGAGCACATATAGAGTATTACAGCTGGTCTTGTGAGAGCAGTGCTCTGAAGTGAGGGTTCATCTTTGAACAGCTATTGATCGCCCCTTTTAAAGAGCACTACTTTGTGTAGACGGGCTCGAGTAAGACCGCTCTGAGCCGTCAGCCCAGCATCATGGGCGAGGCAGACTTCAAAAAGCGTTGGGAATTCATGGAAACATCTACTTCTGTCCCGAAACTCGCCTGTAGGCTGATTCAAACTGACAACCCAGCCCTTCTTATTTCTAGGATTACGGTTGCTTTGAGGACAGAATACCGAGAAAGACGAGATGCGGCCCAATCTCCTCACTCTGTCCTTTCGCATCTCATTCCATCTGACCCCGTTTGCTAGATGCAATATCTAAGGCGGTACATTTTTTTCTCCATCCAAGACATGAATCATTTAGCTCGCAATCTCACAAGAGCTGCTTCACGATATAAATATAAACCAATGTGTCAAGATGTACAACTCAGACACACGCGCACATAAACGTCCCAACCACACATTATTTCTAAAGTCCGGTATCAGATTCGGCATCACTGTGTGTTGACAAACACGTAACCACCACATCAAGGGGTGAGCAGCTTTTTCCGCTGGAAATTTGTAAAAGGATGGAGGAGAGAACAGGCGGTGCTAAGATTTCCTTTCATATTCATTACATCGCAAAATGATGCAGTGGTTATATTTATGGACTGATATCACCTTAAGCTTGATTTTGCATGCCGAGGAGAGCAACGGGGTACGATGACCTACTCCCCCGGGAGGTTGAGAGGTGAAGACTAAAGAGAGCGGCGTGCTTGGCTGCGCGAGGTCTCTCAAGGCCTATTATATCGTCTTACATTCAAGAGACTGACAGGTGCATGACGAGGAAATAAAAGACTCTTCTGAAAGACAAACAAAATTAGGAAAAACATGACAAAGTGTGCCGTAGAAGTAGATACAAAAGGGATATATCAAGAACGGTCTCAGGAGGAAGTGTTCGCCCTGACGGGAGAAAAGAGCAGGGGGGGAGGGAAGTTGGAGCCGAGCAAGTTGAGAAGTATTTTTAGGAAGATGTTTATTTGAAGGTCTGTGAAACCAACCCGGGGTGTATATCTACCAGCCTTGCGATCTCTCTCTCTCTCTCTGTGTTACCATCTGTTGAGGTCTCTCAGCCTGTCACGGTGCTCTGGCTCTATAGGTGGTCGGGGGAGGGGAGGGGACATTTTGCACAAACGGAACAATTCTGCAGATTCGGGCAAAGTAACATCTGAACATGCCTGTTAACAAAAAAAAAGCGTCTGTTGCACTGTTCTTATGCTCCAAAGCACCACAATAGCCCAGATTAGGTGTTATTAGGTTAGATTAAATGAGATTAGATTGGATTAGAGTAGATTATTGGTATGGGGAAATTAGCTTATCAAAATAGAATACAGCAAAGAAAAAGGTATATAAATTGGTATAGATGTATTACAGCATGCTTTTGAACTTTACATAAAATATAACAGACTGCCCGTTTTGATAAGGAGCATCATTAAAAATAGAGTTTAAAAAGCCAAACAGCTTATTTTTTGTTTCTTTACTTGCTCAAATGATGTATAAAATGTATATTAATGTCTGTATCATCGGACTGCTGTCCAACATTAAGAGGAACAACATTGGTGCAGTCATGCAAAAGCATGTAGCTCGGCGTAAACGTCTTTTGACAAGACTGGCGACTGTTCTGGAGACATTTCTGAAATACTCAAATTGAATATTAATATACATTGCTTTCACAATAACAAAGAATCGAACCAAATTGTGGCTTTTGTTTAGCCAATAAAGGATGGCAACATAACAGGAAGTGGCTATTTCTACACGTCAAGTGATCAAAATGATTCTTAATTCATAATATTGCATATACACACTTTGAAAAAGCTGTTTTGAGTTTAATATAGTATTTAAATATTGATATTTAAATAGTTTGCTGTCAAACGACGCTGTAAAACTCGTGTTTATATTTGCTCTGTGCTTTGAATGTAATGTCAGCCAATCATCTGTGTTAGGTCTACCTGTAAAAATGATGAACTCAGTGTAAACTGGGCCTTCGGTGATTAATGTGAACTCAGAAACAGACAACAGTACTAAACAGAAATATAAGATAACGTGGGAATGAAATGTGTACAAGTAGGAGTGCAGAGTTGCAGCAATCTATTAATCCTAACATCAGAACGTTTGATTAAAGATGAACACTTAATGGTATTTCTGAACAGCAAGAAACGATGGTGAAGGCGTTGATGATGAAATGATGATCTACCTAACGGCTATTTCGAGCCTGAGCTCCGATATTTTTTGCGGTGGAGGAATGCAACTCTGAAAAATGGCGACCACAGGCGAAGCAAACATTTGTACTGAGCTTGCTACTTTTTAAAAGATCAAACCAAGGAAGGGTGATAATTTATTGGAACACGGCGGCGGGTGGAGAACTTGTGTGCGAGGTGAACATTTACACAAGTGTTATTGACCTTTGGGGATGTTGTTTCTGTCCCAGTTTTGCGGCGGCAGACGTCACGCGCGTCAGTTGACTTTTAGCTCAGACAGCTAATTAAACGCACCTGTCGCGCTTGTGCTCCACGCGACAAGGCCAGGTGGTCACCTAGGCAACGGCCAATTTAGTATGGCTGACAATATCCGGTTAAATGATTATATTATTCCAGGAATAATTTGGGGGTTTGTTTTTGAGGTTTACTTGTATTATTAAGAAACCAATCAAATAGTCAAGTAATTAAATTAAGAAGCAGTAACGTGAGGAAATGCAGGTGTTTGTGCATTTAATTTAACTTACACATAATTAGACCTATACAAAAATAGACTTAAATCAAGATGACTGAATGGAAGTTTCTCCATCCCATCACCCATTTAGTGCCGTGATTTAAGCGTAAAACCCTGACAAACTGATGTGTATTTTATAATTCAAATGCAGACGAAAGCCTGGGGAGGGTGGTATTATATTTAGACAATCTTCGCAAGGCAAGGGGTAAGTTCACTGAAAGACAACACTGAGAAAGTGCCGAGGCCTAAAATATCTGCCCACACAGCTTCCAGCAGGACTGAAGTGCCAGGTGCGAGGACGGTTAAGGCACACACGTACCCAGTTTCACGTTGGGCTGTTTTAGACTTCAGACTATTCTTGGGGAGGCCGGTGATTCCCGAAACCAAACCATTTGTCACGTTAAAATGTACAAAAAAAAAAAAAGTCACGTGTTAATAGTGTGAGGGCATGGGTCAATTTGTGCGTAATTACGCACGGCGGCACAAGCAGATACGCCTCTGCTCAGAGCCTCCCAATCCAAACCTACCTTTCTCTGCTGCTTCTCCCACGCAGGGTCCAGCAGCAGGTCCCTGTCCCAGTCGTCCTCTTGGGTCATGTACCGCTCTTCCTCGTTGATCGTGTAGGAGTTGCTGTATGTTATATGGGTTTCGACAGTCGTCATGATGCAGCCTCTGTCAGGACTTCACGTCCCCCTCAGCTTACAGAAAGAAAAAAAAAATAATCAGCAATAGACGCTGCCGTGAGGACAAGAACCACCTTGAGACGTGGGGTCTCGCGTTCGGGGGGGAGAGATCGTTAGGGGCTGCTGAGACCAGACTCCACTGGTGCGAGGTGCCTGTGCGGAGGTGAGCTCCCACTACCAAAAAACCCTGCTGGTCCGGTGCTCCTTTGCTGGTCAAACGTGTCATACGTGACCGCACCCCAATAAGTATGGGAACTGACAGCATGGGTATCAGGTTCTGACCCTAAAAAGGTTGAAAAGGCGGGGTGGTCTCTTGCGGGCAGGGTGAACCGGCTTGCGAGTGGTTGGGAGGGTTGTCAATTACGCCCCCCTCGCGCCAGAGAGGTTTTTATGGTCTGTGCAATGCACCTGTTGCTGTTAGTGACCCTCAATGGCAAACCCGGGTCTCTGTAGTTTCAGCCTATCTCTCCCGGAAAACAGGACCAAAGAACATTACCCCCCCCCCCCCCCCTCTCTCTCTCTCTCTCTGAACACGGATTTCTAGCAACATAATAGTCAAACACTGAAACAAACCATCTTATTCCACAGGCTGCAGGTAAAAGCAGTTTATAATAAACTATACTACAATGTCTCCGGCCGATAATTAAATACAAATGTCATAGTTCAATTACATAAATTGCATTAGAACAAAAGAGATTCAGGCACTTTTATGAGGAAAAAAAAAAGAATTTATTCATGATTTGCATGCAGACTGAAAAAAATGCCTTAAAACACTAAGAAATACAGATCAAAAAGGCATATATATGCATATCACAACCGTACAATATAATTTGTGTTTATATCAGGATTTTTCATTCACAGTAAACATGTTGACACAAAGATTTCATCTAACATTCATCCACTAAAATCCTTCCAACTAAAATACCAATTTTGTCTTTGTGCTGGAACTGATTTCCTTGAAATGAGCAGATTCATATTGCTATCCTCTCGAGGGTGACACATTATTCTGTCACCCTCGATGGGTCTTTGGAAACTAGAATGATGTATATCATAATTAATCAGGCATATAAAAGTAACCACACTCGGCTTGGTCCATTAACCTACTTGAAGCAACTTAGCTACTGTGACTATTTGTGGTTACCGGCATGTATGTTACTGTGCCACTACTGAGCCGAGGGAAGTGGATGGGCTGACCCCTGTAAACATAACTGTGGGAGTTTTGATAATAATATGGACCACAAAAAAAAACAAAAAACAAAGACAAGACTTGGCCTCCGGTGGCGATAAAAACAGCCACGTAAAGTGGTGGACAAAATAACATGAACACCTTAGAACGTGGTGCAAGCCAATACACCTTCATGCACTGCACACTGCAGCATCGAGAGCAGACAACTCCAATACCGATCAACCGGAATGAAAAACATCGAGCTTCTTGATAAATGCAGGAATATTGTGTTGAACTGTATTCAATTCTACAGGCGCTGATGTTGCGTCAATCCCCCGTAGAGGAGGTAATGGCTGACGTAGGACTCTACCGGATGAGCAGCACTAGAGGCCGATACCTGTGATTCACATCTGTGCTAGAAGAGCTAGAATTGGCTAAAAGCTACTGAATCAATGTGCAATGTGGTCTATGGGCTTTGTGCTCAAACCGAACTGCAGTGTGTTTCCGGATGCACACACTCGCACATCCCAGCTGATACCTGCTGCAGGAGAACAGATGTGACCTGTGGGGTCCCATCACAACAACACAGTACAGAGATGTGATGCATAAAGCGCAACCTGTGGTTCTGCAGCTGTCCAAACCGCAGAAGGCATGTGGGGGAGCGGCGGGGGAGTGGGTGAGAAAGTGGAAGTATAGGGAGGAGGCTGCAGCGAGCTGTGGCTGTCAGTACAGTGTGACTGCAGAGCAGAGATGGGGGGGTGGGGGGGGTTTAAGAGATGCGTGGCTGCATTCACCCAAGCACTGGAAGCCCCCGACTCGCAAGCACCCGAAGAAGCCTTTAGTGAGGCGTTGGGAGAGTGGGGAGGATGGAGGTGGCCGGAGGAAAAGCACTGGAGCGCCCTGATCATGGAGGCCGGGGTGGAAAGGAGTCAACTCTTTATCTACTCCTCGTTCTAAACATTGGGCCTGGAGTTGCATTGATTTTCCAGACTATAATAATAATAATAATAATAATAAGATGACCTCTTTTTTTGTTTACATCTTGGGGTCATAAATGTTTCTACATTTCAGTAAACAAAAAGGTTAAGTGTATCCAAGAAATGGACACCTCAAAGTCAAAGCTGCATTATCAGGATACACTATGGTCAATGTAGAAGGACCAGAATGAGATTCTATCTATCGTGGCAATCAAGAACAGGGTCCTCCAAGATCAGGAAAGGTGAGGTTAGAGCGCAGCTTTGGACAGAGGATCCTTCCACTACCGACTCACCTTGTAATCAACTCATCTATTCATCCCTCTCCTTTGTCTGTCAGGTGGACAGAAGGCAACGGCCTCTTGACTTCATCCCGCAGCTGTCAGAGAAAATGCCGGACAACTCATTTGGCGGTCTGAAAACCTGCGAGTGTGGGGATCGTGTGTGTGTGTGTGTGTGTGCGCGAGGGTTAAGCTTTCTATCTCGGCACATGGACAATCTTAAACAGGTAAAAAACAACAACATAAAAACACACAAGTCACTGAGAGCACGTACCCAGCCAGTCCAGCTGATCCCAGTATTAAGAGGAATAGAGCTGCCGTGCCAGAAAAGTCCTATAGGAACCCTGAGATTGAGAATCTACAGGTCAGACTGGCCTCATACCTAGGCCTATCTTATAGGACGTTTCTGGTTGGCACACAGGCTGTGAGGGACCCAAAGGGAAGAAAATTTCACTTAAGATGTAATGGAGCTAAGTTCTTTTGGCTAACAGGAGTTAAGATCCCTTCCACAGCCATGTGGAACATAACCCGGCATTCAACAATTTGAGCAAAGCGACTTGTCCCAACATTGAAGCCTCTCTGTATCATGTTACAGAGTCCGGCGGCGGGCCACCACACATACACTGTCCATTGGCGCGCCCAGGCCTCTACGGTAACAAAGGAGGATGGGGGAGGTTGGGTCAGGTGGGTGGTTCTGGGAAGTTGAGTCCGAGCCAGAGCCACAAACCCAGATCCAAGGGGGGAGTGGTGGGGCGACGGCGGTGGCGGCGGAAAAAAAAAAAAGCGCTGTGTGTTTGTGTGTGAACGGCGGAGAGGAGAGGCGCATAGGGACAATAGGGTGGGGTTGAGGAGGAGGGGAGGGAAGGGGTCAGGAGGGAGGGGAGGGGGGGGCGGCGAATACGGCGGTGGAGAGGAGTTGACTAGCGGGCAGGGGAGGGGTAAGGGTTTGTCCGCATGTGCCAAGCTTCACCAATCAATGAAGCACCCCTCCCAAAAAAAAGTTCTCCACACATCCATGCTCTCGTTCTGTTAAACACACACACACACACACACACACACACTTCCCTTTATTCACTAGCTCAGACACCAGCGGGACAGTCTAGTACGCTGATGCGAGACAGGACTTGTGGAAGGGGTCCTAAACCCCTCACCCCCCCCCCCCCCACCGATGGCACTGCCATTGCATCAGAGGAGGAGTTACGGAGTGGGGGAGGTGGTGATGGCGGAGGAGAGGAAGGTGTGGAGGTGGGAGTGTTGTTGTCAAGGCACAGTCAAAAGGAAGGGGCGGCAGGTGGGGAGAGGAGAGGTCAGTGCTTTTGTTTCGTTTTCGTTTTTTCATTTACCTTGGGTGGTGAGGAGAGAGTTGGCGTCGCGCTTAAAAGTCGTCCCCATGGCTCACGCCGCCACGCTCACGCACGGCTGCACGCTGGCCGTCCCAGGTGGCCCGGTGACCTAATTCAGTTGAGATAGTTAGTTCAGAGCTGGACTGTCGCCGGGGGTATTTAGTTTTTTTTTTTCTTTTATGCGGCAGAGTTACAGATTATCACACATGCAGGCCTGAGTGGACACAGAGACACACGGAAGGGGGGAGAATTTGGTGCAGCAGGGAGAGACGAGACCAGACCAGACGCACACCCATCAACCCCAGAAACAGGACTGCTCCACAGATCAAAATGCACCCAGGCCATTCTATCTGTGTGCCTCTCCCCAGCTCTCAACATGATGCCAGTTTCTATCATGTCCTTTCTTGATGTAAAAAAAAAATAAAAAAATCTATTAAAAAAAACAACAAAAAAAAGGACCATTCCCAGCTTTTTCTTTGCCAGAATTAAATCCTGATGTGCGTTTGGTCAAGTGCAAACCTCTTCAGAGAAATTTTGGTTTGCACCCAGTTTGAGAGGCTGGAGAGAGAAAGGAGCACCAACCGGCACTTACCCTGACCAAAGAAAGCAAAGCTGGGCCAGCATCTACACCTGCGTGGTCATTTTAACACGAGAGAAACAGATAGTGGAGAAGAACAACATCAACAAGAAGGGGAAATGTCCAAACCCTTTGCTTTCTTTTACCACAGTAGTGAGCCAAACACTTTATTATAATAATTATTATAGTATACATATTCTCAATAAAAAGCATGCCGATTTTTAATTCTGTTTGTCTTTTCCTAATAAAAAAAAATTAAAATTAAAAGGCAAAATTAAAGTACTTCTCTAAAAAATACGGTCTCAAACATGGCAAACAAGACATTTCGCAAACCACATAATTCTACAAAGGATGCAACTGGTATGTATTTGTATATACAACACAGAAAGATTACACTGTGAGATGCAAAAGTCACTTAACTACTAAAAACCACAGCGGGAGAAAGGATGGGGGGGGAGGGGAGGGGGGACAGCGAGGTAGTAAGGTGAATTCAGAGGATGTCTGTGTGTGCATCAGACCGATGTCAAGCAGTAGCCGCAAAACAAAAGTGAGAGTTTTAAGTGATTATTTTAGAACCGAATGGGCGGAGTTTGCCACTCGGGACGAGCTCGTGAATGTCAAAAGGTACCCGTCCTTACAGGTCAAGCTTTAGTCATCCCGATGCCGAAAACCCCGCCAACCGGATCCAACAACCGGATTTAAAACATGACACTTAAATATTTTTGCAATTACAATCTGACGCAGGTCTGGTATTTAAAAAAAAAAAGTCAGATAGTTGGGGCATCTGGAAGACACTTCCCCATCTCTCAATTCATTGGTGCTATCACTGTTCCTGCTTAAAACCAGCTGCTAATTATGAACCTGTGAGGCTCAGTTTGTGGCTTTTCTTCTATAAAAAAATAATAACTACGATCCAGTTACCCCCCCCCCCATGAAACGATTAAAAAGCACTTAAAATGGGAGATCCCTCCACGTAATGCGCTTCACTCAAAGCTTATAGGCACATAATTGAGCTTGTCACATGTCATGATTCCTAATAGGATGCAGTGTACAGATCCTTTGTAAACAGCTCATTCAGTAGTCACACATGGGGGGGGGGGGTTTCTTTTCCCATTTACATTTCATTACACCCCAGGGATGACTTGTATTACATGTAAACTACACTAAAACAAACAAAAAACGCAAAACAGTTGTGTTTTAAAGGCCTCAGGAAATGGAGGAGGACTTAATACAGAATATCTACAAAAGTCATTGTCACTGAAAATCCGCCCCTCCCCCCTAAAATAAAGACCCTGTACCTTTACAGGAACTGCTGACTGGGTGAAAAATGTTTAATAGAACAGAAATGTACTGTCAGAGGTAGGCAGCTGTAGTTAAAGAGAGAGAGAGAAAGAGAGGTGAAGCCGTGCCTTCCAGTGTTGTAGTTAGAGTACAGGTGGGGGGGGGGGGGGGGGAGGCAGCAGTGCCTGTAAAAGTTCGAGGAGGGGGGGGGGGGGGGGAGGGGTCAAGGAGAGATCCAGACATACATTACAGTACGTCTTATGTGTGCTTTACGTGGTTTTTTTTTTGTTCTCTTTTCTGCAAGGCGCAGTCTAAGCTGCTGCGTTTGTGCGCTGCAAGGTCAGGAGCCCTCTTTCACACAACCCACATCACATTCCGGACAAACCCCCCCCCCCCCCCCAAAAAAAACCGTCAACCTTGGTTCTATTGGACACGATGCAATGCAGCCTGGACACAATGTGTGTGTTTATCTGGCTTCCCATCCGATTACATTACAAATCAAAACGCTCCCAACATAAGGCAGAAAAGGTTTCAAATTAGCTGCCCGAACTGATCATCTAGGCCCAAGGAGGATGGCTGATAAAAACCAATGTCTTATCGTGGATTTGGCCGTAGAAAAATCATAACTGGGTTGCGGAAATAAAAGGCATGTGAAACGACCGACTGGGTCAGTCTAATACTGGCACAAGTGTGAGACTGGCACGATAAAGAAAAAAAGAAGTAAAACTGAGAAGCACAAAGAATGCCCGAACAACAGGTGAGAGCCTCCCATTCATGGCTGCAGTGTGTGTATGCAAACAGGACCAAGGTTAGCCGACCGAGTCCCTCGTAAAGCAGGTTAATAAACCAAAGGAGCCCCCAAGTTTCAAACCCCACCCCCCACACACACTTAGATCCCACAGACGCACTGACTCACTCACACGCACATACAGCTGCTGTAAGGTGGTCAAGTTTGGGGGTGGAAGAGGAGATGTGGGATGGGGGTTCAGGGCGAAGAGGGAGGGGGTGTAGGGTGGAAGGGGCAGAGTTGTGTGCGACTATCGGAAGGGGGGCTCAGGCGTGTGAAGGGAGAGTTCGGGGCGGCGGAGGATGGCCTCCTTGCGCGTGGGCGGCGGCAACGGCGGCTCATACACCCTTGGCACAGCCATGGCGGCTGCCACTGCCGCGGCGGAGGGAACCACTGGCCTGAGGGCGTCCAGCGCAGCGACCGACTGGGCGGACATCGCGGAAACGGTGGGGACCGCCGACACTCCCGGCATGCCTTGGATGGCCGTCATGGCACTCGGCGGCGGGTAGGCGTACTGGAACTGGGGGTACTGCTGCAGCTGCTGGTAGTACTCCGCGTAGTACCTAAGAGAAGTAGGGAGGGGTTAAGGTAGGGGGGAGAGGAGGGTTCAGGTAGGAGGAGGGGACAGGATGTGGGATGACACAGTGGGAGTAACGGGAGAGCGGTGAAGCGAAAGAGAAGGATGCAATGAAGCATTAATCAACTGTGAGAAATGTGGCAAAAAGATTGTAAATAACCGTGATTCCTAGAGGTAAACAGCTGAAAAGTACAGTAGCAGAGACACAAACTCGACTCTCTCTGGGAATGTTTCAGGGCTGGCCGCATAGCTGCTGGTTAAAGAGGTTTGAAGATCACGTCCTACCTGGCCATGGGGTCCTCTGCAGCCTCCGCTGCCTCTTCTGCCGCTCGGCCGGCTGGTGTTGGGAGCAGGGGCCGGCGCGGCTTGGCTCTCTGGTACATGAACGGCTTCATCACCGGGTCTGGTAGCAGAGGCATCGACCTCCGCAGGGGACTGCGGTCCCTCTCGCCAGACTTTGCGGCAGCCGCCGCCGCCGCCGCGACGGCCGCCTGCTGCTGCTGGTCGGCCATAACCTGCTGGCCCTGGGCAAAGTAATGTGCCTGTCTGGCGGCCTCAAAGATGGCTGTGGTGGGGTCCGCTGCTCCCATGGCGCTTATGTGAGCGTAGGCCTGTGCGCCGCCGCCATAAATAGCTGGAGATACGGCGTAGGCGGGGTTGACCGCCGCCGCTGCTGTTTGCATTTCTAGTCCATGAGCAGCGGTCAGGTAGACATGGGAGTTGGCCATGGTTGGGGTGTAAACTTGAGGGGAGTAGGCGGCGGCGTTCGCCGCCATCTGGCCGTAGATGTTGGGCGCCATCGAGCTGTACATTTGGGTGGCGCCTGATTGTAGAGCTGCCTGGTTGGCCACCGATCCATAAAGCTGACTGGCAACGTTGGCACCGTACACCTGGCTGGCAAGAGCACCATAAACAGCCGGATTCACGGGGTTTCCGTCGGTGCGCGTGCCCGTGGTGATCCCAGTGAGAGCCGCATATGTGGGATCGAAGGTGGAGGTGTTGTAGACCGAATTGTGCACGCTTTGTTGGACCTGTAGCGGGAGGCCGGCGGCGGCGGCGGCGGCAGCCGCCAGGACCGCCGCCTGACTCTGGTACTGCTCCAGAGAGGGCTTCCCCACGGGGCATTCTCCAGCATAGTGGCCCTGCTTTCCACAGTTAACACAGGGGATCTTTCCCGTAGGCGCCTGCTTGCTGGGCTGGACCTTGGACAGCTCTACGGACAGGGGGCGGCCCTTAAACGAGGTGCCGTGCAGGGCCTCGATGGCCTGGAGCGCGTCTTCCTTGTTTTCCATGTGGACAAAGGCATAGCCTGCGGAAGAGGAATGCCTGGCTGTCATTGAGCGCAGGGACAACAGTTAGGATCACAGTGGCATTGCCACAGGCACTTACTTATTACTGCTACCAAGAAGAATGCATTGCACCAAAGGGAAACAAGGACGTGGGCGCGTCTTGTTCTTTTGCACACAGAGAACTTTGGACTTATGTATCATAATAACACATCACATGGTCTCAAACGTGTGCAGTAGAGCACAAAATCTCTTTAACTGGAATAAGAACTGTCAGATGTAATCGCTTACCCGCTCTACGGCACGACTTCAAACACTAGCTCCACAATTTCACACACAACACTCGAGAGAGAGAGATGTTACCGGGAGCTTTTAAAACACACATATATATATATATATATATATATATATATAAAAAAAAAAAAAAAACAGGCCTTGGCTCACCTTTCACTTTATCACACTCGAGGACTTTCCCGAACGTCTGGAACAGCTGCTGGAGGTCCTCGGTGGTGCACATCCCACTCAGGTTACCCACGAACACCTTGGTGGAGTGCAACGGCCTCCCCCGCGACTCCTCCACCACCAGATTGCGCCCGCGAAACTCCCGGCCGTTGAGCTCCCGGATGGCTTGCTCGGCGGCGTTCTCGCCCTGCAGGTGGACGAAGGCGAACTGCCGCAGCACGCTGCAGCTGACCACCTGGCCGTAGGGCTCGAAGATGGCCGACAGCTCCTCCTGGGTGGTGTCCAACGCCAGGTTGCCCACGAAGAGCTTCACCGTGTTGCTCTTGTCCATGGCGCTGCAGAGGGGGAACAGAGGAGGGTTGTACTTGGTTAGAGATAAGAGAGGAAGGAGGAGGGCGTTAACTACACAGTGCGACAAGTGAGAACAAAGTCTGAAGAGGAGAAGGAAGTAGTGGAGTGTGATTATCTGAATACAGGGCTGGGCTGCAGTACGCAGGGACATCGCTGACCCAACTATTTAGTTTCTTTTTCTGGGCTGAAAAAGATCTGTGAGGGAGGGGGGGTTGGTGCTGACTTTGAATAAACAAAAGACTTAACACCTGCTGCCTTACTATCCAGAGATTAGGCAAATAAAAGACTGAGCACACCAATAAGAGAATTTATACGTGCACTCTCGATAGAGAAACCTCGGCGCGTGAATGAGCCGCCAGATTAACATTCAAATATTTGACCCCACAATTGCCTGTGTGTTCAGATAAAAGATTATGCAAAACAGAGCAGGGTTTCCCCCCCCCACAGGAGCCGCATTATGTCAGCGAGTAATAAGCGAAATATCTCCAATAGTCGTCGTGGAGCAGAGGCAGACTGAAGGAGCACGTCATTAAATATCTCAGTCTTACTTTAGAGGGGGCTGTAATTACAGGTACCGCTGTGAGTCAGGCTCTTACACAGGAGACAGCCGGGATCTTACACCATTACCTTCAAAGTAAGAGCGCTGCGGATCAACACACGTGGCATTTTCAGTGATCTTTAAGACTTGGGTGATACAGAAAGGCCCCAATGTGTCACCTTTTTTCCCCCTCCCTTCTTCACTCTCTTCTAAGTCACACTGTAGGAGTGTTTTTCTACAGGTTGGTCGACACCTTTTTCCTTCCTCTTGAGCAACCTTCACGACTGGCTGTGAATCAAAAGGGCAATGTGGAACATGACACCAGAGAATGACATTTCTATTTTTTTTTTTGGTTTAGGCTCCAGTCAGACTGAACTGCACCTCTTGTGCTGCTGCTGACACACACACACACACACACACGAATGTATTAAAGGAGATGCAAGCTTCGGTGTTTCTGTGCTGTGGGGCCTCCACGTGTGAGTGCACCCCTCGGTTACATATGGCTGCTGCATGAACACTGAGTCCATGCGAGGCATAACTACAGGGAGAGGAGGAAGGAGGAGCTGGTTTTCTGATGACGCAGCGCGAAGCTGAGTCAACACATTTTCACAAGCTCGCGTCTTTTAAAAAAAAAAAAAAAAAAAAAAAAAAAAAAAAAAAAAAAGCGAAATAAATCTCGATAAGACGCAAGTTAAGTTGTTTAGACGCGTTGGACAGATTTGTATTGCATGTGTAAGAAATGTGAATGAGGCGGGATGCTTGGTTTTCTTGCTCGTGTGCAAAGCAAACAAACCCTAAAAGCGAAAAATAAATAGATTTTTTAAAAACATGTATTTTACGCAACAATGTAAACCACAAAACAGCAGATTACAACAGCTGGAACCCGAACGCAGATCGATACAATGTAACAACAGACATGTTCTTCTCTCCCCACGCACAGGAATGAATACAGTGTAACACCGAGTGATTTCCGTGCAACAACACGGTTTAACGGACTCCCACGCGACAACACGCACGTGGAAAACGCTCGAGCCTAAAGACGAGTTTAGATTTAATCGCCTCCGATGAGAATAATACGGCAGAAAACGGCGATTCAAATAAAAGGAACTACCATCTTACCTAGGCGGTGCTGCGTTTCAAAATGGTAGCGCCTGCTTCCGTTTGCATGTCGGGCATTCTGCTGGAGAAGGGCTGCAGGAGGGGGAGGGCTGCTGCTGCACCCCAGAGGATGCTGAGTCCTCACAAATATAGGACACACACACACAATAATGCACGTACACGAGGCCAAGTATGAGCCCGTTTCATTTCATCAGTGCCACCAGAAGAAGAAGAATTAAAGGCTGCTTTAAAGCCGCAGGGTTCTGCACCGAAGGGGGAGACAGGAAACAAGCGAGTGAGTTCAATTAGAGGGCTCATTATGTTCCATGAAAGAAATATGACACATTTGCTCAGCCACAGAGGACAGATCAAGTGCAATATTAATACTAATGCAGGCTGTGTGTGAGTGTGTGTGTGTGACAATGATTCACGCAGATTGTCAAACATTGAAGCAGAAAATGAAATCAGCAAAACATTTTATATTTATCAAGCAAAAACATTTTCTTTTACATTTTTGGGTTCCAGCTTCTCACTGATTTGATTAATTGTCAGAGACAAAAATGTCTATTTAAAGACAAACATATCGATTGGAAAAAAAAATAAATAAATTAAAAAAAAAAAAAATCTATAATATAAAACTTCATTTTATATTCCTACAGTCCTACATTCAAGTGGCGTTCACAGCCCTCGGACACAAATGGGAAAAAAGGACACCGACTGAACATTTGAGGGGGAAAATTCAATAAGCGTATTCAGCCTTCACCGGGACAAGACAGATGCTCAATTTGGACAATCGATGCTAAACTTGCAACGGCGATACGCAGCACACCACTCCGTCACAATATTGACGGCGTCGTCAGGGGGAAGGAGATGTGCGTTAACAGAAATCAATAAGTGTGACGAGGTAGAAGTTTTGTACATCATTAGATTATACTTCAATCATCACGTATATATATATTTTTTTTTTAGCAGGATGAAGGAGCTGAGCACACACTCCTTCAAGGAACCCCACTTTCCCTCTGGAATTTGACTCTCTCCTCCGAGCTCTTTCAAAATCTCTCTTAAACAAGTCACCCGCACAAGCTGATGGATTTAAAATGAACACACTAATGGAGGAGTTGCAGATAAACAGTGGAACAGAACGTATACTGTGCAGTCGGACTAATGCAGCTGGAAAGCTTTGCGACAGTAAATATCCTAATTATAAGCCTCACTCCATTTTGTAAACCCACGTGTGTGTTGACTTTCCTGCTAAACTCAAAACCTATGTTTTTAACGAATCATTTCTACGACTGTTTTTTTAGGAGGCTTGCATCATCAGCTTAGACACTTTAATTAAATTGATCCCAGCCATGAATGTTATTCATTTAGACGGCGACGAGACAGATTGTGTCGGAGGTGGCTCTTTATACAAACATACAACAGTATTAACGGACATCTAGCTAATCAAAGGTGGCTTTCACAAAGCCTCCGATTTAAACTGCTACAGTGCTTTTAAAATCCTCAGAGGACAGTAAACTGTGACCGCAAGAGGATTTCATTTCAAGAAAATAAGGCCGTTTTTCTTTGGTCATCCGTCCAGCTGTGTGGAAACGTATTCCTCAGAGCTCCGATCCTTTTCTGTTCAAACGGATAAGGCTCTGTGTTCAGAGGTGTGCCGCCGGCGTCTCCGTGCCGGCCTTGCTCCGACCTTTCCCCGCTATCGGCCGGTCTCTCTCCTCCCACAGCGTGACCCCGTCACAGGCGCAAATCTGTTTGGGGTTCTGGAAAAGACCAGCGGATCGGGCGATGATCCCACAGGCCAGTCTGTAGAGGAAAAGACGCAGTGTTATCATTATCAAATCTCAACCTTGGAGCTGGTAGTTTGACAAAACAATCCCAACTCAAGGTCCATTTACAAACCAGTGCCGTTGACACACCTTTCCCCAGAGTTCCCAGTCCGTTTGGAGAGCGGCTGACCTCCTCGGCCCAGGTCGTCCTCGCCCGCATCCACCACCAACGACCGGCCGATCACGTCCCAAACCTACAGCGTGAGCATCAAGGAGTCAATGGAGAGGAAAAGAAAAGCCCTCATTCAGAGCTTTTCCCCCATTTCCCACTTTGTACATCCTCAATTCCTTCACCCTCGCCTCCTCGCCTCACGTTTTAGACCCGCCCACAGGAGATACGAGCAGAGGAAGCGACGCGAGGAGATAGGAGCCGAGGGTATTTAACAACGTGCGATATCACTGCATCGGAGCCTCACGTCAATTAAATACGACGTGGGGGTCGAGCTGTGTCGCCTCTTTTATCCGTCACTGGAAAACACTTCCACGAAGGACACACCGGTGCTTCCTTGCTTATAGCTCCTCCGGCAAGCCTCGGCGCTCCTCGTGATGGGTCACAAGCCAGAGGAGCGAGGAGACGAGGAGGCACAAAATCGGGAAATAAGATGGGCATCTGGTGTTGCTTTGGAAATTAAATGTTTGTATGAAACATATTTGATTCCTAAAGCTAAATATGTTGCAGTTACCTGCTTTTCTACCAGTGCCAATATGTGTGTGTGTGTGTGTTACCTTTAGCTGACTGTCCTCTTGTCGAAATGAAGCTCGGCCATCTGGTCCAGCAACAATATTTCCCAGATCACCCACATGCTGCACGACAACAACACACAGAGAGTGCCCACATAAATAACACAGAACCATAGAGAGCCTACACGAGAGTAAGCGGCATTTAAAAGTTAGGGAACACCGCCTTAAGAGGCGTGGCCCCGACTGTCACACACTTAATTGAAAATGTGGCCCCTGAAGCAGAACTGCTTCAAAACGGCTCCTGCGGGACACGTTTGGCAATCGGAGACGGGTATCACGTCTCACATTTGGCTCACGCTGAAATATTTATTAAATCTGGAGCAGAGATTTTGTCAGTATTTATGAGGAGAGGATCCATTATTTACTAACTCCTTCTACGGCTAAATATTCTGGCATGAGTGAACTCTGGCACGGAGCAAGTAGTCTCTAAAAACGATGAACAACGAACGATTATGCAGGAAGTTAAGGAGCAGATGTACCCTTTCAGAGTCCCCTGGACCGCCGTGTTGTCTTCCGAAGGGGTTGTAGTGCTCTCCACAACTGTAAAAACACAAAAGAAGAAGAATTTGAAACTGCGTGGTTGCCGTCCACCATTAACGAGGCCAAGACAATGTACAACGTCCTACCTGAGGCAGTCCCGCGTGAGGTCCCCCAGGGCGTGGACGTGGAGGCCGTGGGGTCCGGGCTCCAACCCATCAATGGTCCCGTCAATCAAGCAGCGCTGCTCGGACAGCTGCAGCAAACGCACCACCCCCTGGATCCTCCCCACACCGGCCAGCATAACCACAGCTGAACCCAGGTCTGTCATGGAAATACTTGCGATATGTTAATCCAGGACGTGTTTTGTTGATATGTGTTATTAGGAATCAATGACTGGTGCATACAAAGTCTTATAAAACAGTCTACAGCTGATTTAGAAGAGTAAATAACATTACACATCCAACCAGACTTCTGGTATCTGAACATTTTCATTACTTAAAGCTACGGCCTCACTCCGGTCCCGTTGTTTTCTCACCGTGCTCCGATCCTCCGATGCCTTTCAGCACCGCCCTGCGTCCCGTGCTCTCTATCAGAGCCTGCACCTCTGCGCTGGTCAGCGCCGACTCCACCAGCACCTGCTCCTTACCCACATCCACACTGACGGACGACACTCCTGCAGACACGGTCGAACCATCAAGCGATAGATAGGAAATTAAAAATGAATGATAAACTAGTGACGAACAAACGCTTCAATCTTTTCAATGTGAGGATTTTCAGCTTTTCTGCATCACTCTGTTATTCTAATAAACCGTGCTAAGATGAAGAGCAGTTGTTGAATTTCCTTGAAGCAGACATTCATTGATAATTGATCATATTCATTGATCATTAACCTGGCATAAGTGTAGCATTGCATGCTTGCCTGCAGACATATTGCACATGTTTTTGCATGATCAGCTGCGCACATATTTCAAAGTTTCTAGTTTACAGAAGTTTAGCATTCAATCTAGATGAATTAGTTTGACGTGTAACAGCAGTTGTCGCTATTTAGTAGTAATAAACTCCTTTCACAGTGCTGGTAAACAAACCCTTCAGTGCTCTCTTACCTGGTTCGCCTTCCAGCACAGCTCGGACTTTAACTGCGCAGCTCTCACACGTCATCTGCACCGCAAACTCCAGCTGTGGAGCAGTAAAGAAACATGAAACACCTGTAGATAACACAATGTAAGGTTAAGTACATTATCATATCGGCATTAGTAGCACGTGAGCTTAGCACGCTATGTAACTGCGCAGCGACACAGGAGCGCACGAGCACAATAAGGCATGTTTTTGACATTATTTTAATAATATCGTGACTCAGCAAAACACGACACGCGTTACTGTCGAACCTTGGTTGGCCCCGCAGAGTCCATTTCGTCACCGCGCGGAGCCGCCTGGGCGATGACAACTGAATTAAACAGACAACTTCCCACTTTTCTGGAAACGGAAGCGAGCCAGCTGCGCCTGATAGCGGGCGCCGCCATGTTGGTGAGGTCACGGTGACGTGGGCGCTCGTTACCGCCGCCACGTGGCCGACTACCCGTCAATTCAGTCATTATGGAGACGAATGAAGCCTTTTTACTTGGTTGAAATAAATAAATAAATAAATAAATAAATAAGTAAATAAATAAAATTATAAATAAATAAATAATATTACCAAAACAAAATGTTGAAATTAAATCTCCTAGTGTTATATTTATATATAATAATTGTTACATTATAATTATGTAGTTTCTCTAAATGCACATGTAGTAATTATTTATATAATGTTGTTTTTTTAATAATTTCTTTTCTTGTATTTAGGTTTGATGTGGCAGAAAATTTTAACTACTCTTAAATACAGTAGTTCAGTAAATGTACTTGCTAGCAGCTGTACTTAATCATGCTAATATTATAGTAGGCCAGTAGTAGTAGTATACAGAAAACTGAATGTATATATATATATAGCTTTGTTTTAAGTTTGGTGATAGTAGATTTGTAAATATTCTTAATGGTTTGAAAGATTTCAAGGAGAATAAAAGTGAGAGAATCTTGTCAATTTTTCGTCTTATCTAAAAAAGACTTCCCAAACGTTAGATGGGTGGTTTTCACCAATGTTGGACATTCTATACTTTTTAATTTTTACGTCAATATAGCAGTCAAGACGTTTCAAATCAATATGCACACATGATGCAAAGATAGTATTTTCCAACATGAGCAGTATAGCCATGTGTATTGTGATGGATTAGGGGCAGGTGATACAGATGTATCATGGTATATGTAAATTTACTAGTGCAATTTGAGTAACTATTAAAAGTTAAAATTGCTAGGAATGTATTCTGTGGTAGAATCTGTCTCAAAAAAAAGATGAAAAAAATCAAGGCATTTCATGAAATTGATCCAAAAATCAAATGTTGCCCACGAAGCAGTCCTCTGAGACAAATTTCTATCATCTTATGGTATATATATATATATATATATATATATATATATATACCACCCACGTTTAAAATATCTCACTTTTTTCCCCACAGTGAATAGAAACCAATGGCTGACTTCTGGTTGTGAAAACACGTTCATGTAAAGTACGCTTATAAACGGGCCAAATCATGCAATCTACTAATATAAGGACGTGATCAGATCAGGGTCAGAGGAAGAGGAAGAGGAGGGGGTTATCTGGACACAGGAGATTGCAGCGTTTGGATGAACCAACAGTTTGACGCAGTAATAGTGATTGCTTGCTGCACCAGTTCAATTTCATAATGTGTATAGATTATTGTTGCAGATTAAAGCGTTCGGTATGGGACAAACCACCACTAAGCTGATGACTGCTTCTCAGAGGAGACCAGTGTGTGTGTGTGTGTGTGTGTGTGTGTGTGTTATTCATACATTCCTATCACATCTCCTTTCATCTTCTTTGATAGTGGAGATAAGCCACATGGAGGAAGCAGATGACCGTGATGTGGCATAAATAAAAAGATAATCTGGGTCGTGAGTCTAAAATAAAAGCTTCTAAAATCAAACCTAAATTTGGGATGATGCGTTTGGAGAGCGACACACATATTCGCCGCCGTGCACGTGCGCTCGTGCATGCCGGGTGTCGATCCAGAAACGTGTAAGCAACACCGAGAGGCCGATGTTTTACATAGAAGGAAGCCAGAGTGGCAGCTCGGTTAGAACACAGCTCCTTCTGTATGTGGTGGCTCATTGGCTTCAACCTCTGACCCCCGCGTCAGTAATATGACCACAGGCTTTAAGAGGGCTGAGCCACTGTGCACCAGGCTCAAAACACTGCCTTGTGTGTGTGTGTGCTGAGAAATCTTTTTCTCTCTGTCTCACTCACACACACACACACACACACACAGCATCCACAGAGCAGCAGTTAATTTATTCGGTACATGGGAAACTGTCTAAAACCTTTCGCCCTCATGTTGATCCTCGGCGCTGAGCTCTCCGTTCAAAGGAGTGGAGGGAGAGCTGCTGTGACACCTGAGCCCAGGGGAGGAGGGGGGGATTTCACCAACACACACACACACATATATAAGCACAGAAACACACACACACGCACACACAAGAGAGACCACAGGGCAGAGAGAAACCTAATCACTACACGAACACAGCAGAATCGGAGAGAGGACAGAAAGGAGGAGAAAGCAGGGATGGATGGAACGGCAGAGGAGGAAGAGGCACAAAGAAGCAGAAGAAAGTGGTTGACAAAGAGAAGTGTGTGTACTTGTGTGTGCAGCCGTGCTGACAGGAAGTGTTGACAGCCCTGTTTGGAACAGTAGAGGTATTATCTGTGAACTAAACGAGGCACTATCCCCACCCTCTTTTCCCTCTCCACCCTGTTAGCACTGACCTGAAGTCTGTTTTGTTCTTCTTATTAAAAAAAACGTCAAGAAGGTGAAGCAGCTCTTGTTTCAGCGACTAAATGCAAGGAAGCCAAACTATATTTTTAGAGCGAAGACTAAACAATAATCTGCACACAGCAGCCAAAGGGACTGGAATGCAGTGTACTAAAGTCCATCAAATGCTCATGCCTCCAGTATTCAAGCAGCTATAGCACCATAAAAACAATGTTTAATTTAACCCTTAGTGTAACCACAGATGACCTACAGTATCATTTTGGATAAGCAGGTCAGAGAAATAGGCCAGGTGCTGCTGTGAGGACTTTGTAATCAATTCTAGGAATGAGTCCTAAAACCCGGAAATGAGTTTGCATTTTTTTTTTGCACTTCTGGTTCCCTCGTCTCGAAGTCAGTGGGTTCTTTTCAAATGGGTTTTTTGGCTAGATGCCTGAAAACAGGTCTGTGATCAACACAAGCTTAAGAGATTTAAACCTTTTGTTCCTACGACATAAAATACACCAGTAAAAACCCCTCTTGGTTGCATTCGCGCTTCAAAACTCGTGAAAGTGGCGTTCGCAGGTGATGATTATCTGAAGAAAACGTGTAAGTATCACAGGCGTTTGTTGGCCGCAGAGCTTATTTTCTGCAATAATACAACATCTAATGGAAAAATCCCATTGGGTTTTAGTCGAGAGTGCAGCACTCTTTGAAACTTTAGATTAAAAATTCATTCAGTAGTGACAGTAGTTCAAAGTTATTGCCGTATACATTTCCAAATTTCCAAGTGGAGCTTGTAGTTTCATTGTTTTGTGAAGTACTAGAACTCTCCACGAGGTCATGAGTGAACTTTGACACTCAGCTTACTTAAGTGACCATGAAGGTGTTCAGAAAAATGTAAATGTCAAACATATACAATTCTATGACAGCTGCGCAAAAACTCTGTCTGCTGAGGAAGATGGTGTAATATAACCAAAAACTCCTGAATCAAACAGGTGTGTCATGAACGGGCTCTTTCTTGTTAAAAGTCTGGCTGTGGCATTTGTTAATACACAATTGTCTTCCTGCATTCTTTTGAGGTATGAGTCAAACTAACAGGAACACATTTTAGATGAAAGAAGGAAGTTATAAAATGTTGGCGAGGTTCAGAATCATCACATTTCTGACCTGTGTGGTTCATTCCAGAGAAACTGAGGCTCAAATAGCAAATATTTTGAGTCTTAACGTGAGACTTAACGTGCACTTGTTAAGTTGCAGGAAACTGTAGGACCCTTTATTTACGCATTGAACACATTAACCGTTCACAACTTTTGATGGAAAATTACAATTTAAAATCATGTATATACTTTTGTTGTCATTGAGGGATTTGCATTACAGAGTTTTGCACGTTAACTGTAATTTACACCGGAATATAGATCGGCATTGTTCTTTTTCAAGGACAAACAACAGCACAAAAACACTTTAAATGATTTAAGAATCAGTTAAGATCACAGACTTCCTCCAACACATCAAACATAAACATTTGTTCCCGATCGACAAATGGGCGGCGTGTTTTTTGTTGACAGATGTTGAACCAATTGTGCACAAAATCAAGATTTTGCACTAAACACATCTTTTTTTCTTGTTCCGGTTAAAACTTCATATCTCTACCATGAAATGGAGTTTTGTTGTGGCTGTGCTTTAAAGAGGTTTTACAAGCCCTAATTAGCAGTGTTCAGTAACTTTGTCAACCCACACAAGAGCATCCGATCCATCAAAGAATGTCAAAACATGAAAACACTAGTAGAAATAAAGTTTCTTTTGCAAGAATATCCAAAAAAAAGTTCAATAAAAATGTCTTTGCTGGAGCCTGGCAGATTGCAGAGAGGCCAATAAAATAAAATAGAAATATTTATAAATACACAGTGTGCACAGTGAGCCTCGCAGAGCAAACTGTTTACAGCTTGGCTGATCCCAAAGGGAATCAAACATCCGTCCTGGCCGCTGCGCTTTACGCCGTCCACAACCTCATGACGCTGGATTATTCAGCTCCCGGAGAGAGGAGGGGCCTTGAGGCCTGTTAGCGGTGCGAGGGACCCCGCAGAGGTCAGAGCAATGTCACAGCCCAGCCAGAGCGCCCTCCACGTCTGCTGATTGCACCCTGACAGCTCAAATGGAGGATGAAGCTAAGCGTGTCCAGGGGACGGTGTCTAACAGCGGAGTCCCACCCCCCCCCCCCTCGCCAACCGCCCACCCAAGACTTCTGCAGGCGTCCGGGGAGCAGGGGGCCATGTTTGTAACAAAAAGGATGATCTGTGACTTTGTCCTGGTTTCACTTCTTTTTAAACACAGAAAACACAGAGGACAGGTCTGTGACAAAAAGATGGACGTCTCCAGGAGAGCAAGAAGCCTTTAAATCAAAACTCTGGGCAAAGTAGGAGAAAAATGATCATAAAACACTTCCAAAAAATAATGAAGCTCATCTTGCAGATAGCTCATATGTGACCACAAACGTCCGGATAAGACACATAACTGAAAGTGGCCAAAATAAACACAGTTTATCATGTTTCCACACCTTCCATCATGTCATTTTTTGCCGGATTGCTGTGTGGATAAAGTCAATAAAAGTAATCATAGAGAGTTGGGGTTGTGGCTCTTAACATATTTTGTGTTTTCAAGCGCATGCAGTGACTTATTAAGAGCTGTCTTTAAAACGACATTACAAACATCTCTCCCTGAAATCAATCTCAGGCCATGACAACAACAAACCTACCAATCCATCCAGTCGATCAGAAAAAAAAAGCCCCTCAAACAAATATTATCCACTCAGCACAGTGGGGTCAGGCGTTATTGCTGACCCACAAACAAGCTAAAAACAATAAATTACAATGCCACTGGGGTGTTTAACAAGCTGTGGACAAACTCTACAGCTCATCACAGGGAGGATAGATAGGAAGAAGGGACAGCATTGCCTAATCAAAGTCTCCTGTTCCTCCCTGGAATAATGACCCAGAGTCCCGATCATCGCTCAAACAATCTGCCACGATCCAGAAAGTATCTCCCGATCTAATTACAGAGGGGAACTGATTTAATAGGAGGTAAAAGCAAGAAAGCACAATAAGGTTACCAGCAATAAGTTGTCTTACAAGTCGTGGTTCATTATGAGTCTCTACTGGAGCTGTGTAAGAAAACTGTGATAATAAAACCACACAAAGTACAATAAAGTATTTAAAAACTCGCCATTGAGTCGCAGTAGCTCGCTTTAGGAAAGATATACAGAAAGGCATTTAAAGGGGTCGATGTAAATGTAGATGAGTTGCTAATAATATTGCAGCAGAGATAAAATACATTAAATTTAAATGGGCATGCATGTATGCATGGTCACTGTTTTGGCCCCAATGTCATTAAACTGTGTGTGAGCATCAAAAAATGTACCATTGCCCAACATAATTGACCTTTTTCAAGTATTTTTGATTAAATAGTGTGCAGTATAGTGCTGACTGGAAATAAAGGGAGAGAGATAGGGAAACATCCTCAGCCCGGCTTGGAGCAGGAAAGCTGCGATAGTGTGTTAAACATCTAAGACACCAGGGTACCCGTGGAAGAGTCCATTAAAGGGGCACTCGAGCAAATTAGCATTGCATTACCATAAAGATGGAGGATTTACAAGAAACATTTGAAAGTCAGCATGAGAGGTAGAGCTTTCCTGACTTGTATCGGCCAAGCTATAAAAAGAAACACTGAAACCTACATTTCCCATAATCATCAACGTTCCTCTGACCCTCCCTGATAACAGATTCCTACCGTTAAATGCCGGTTTTCTGTCACGACTTTAAAGTCTCACGCCCAAACCGGGATGACTACTGTGACATCATGGAAGTGGGATTTGAAGAAGACAATATTTAACTTACCGACCAGTACCGTTGGTTTCTTTTAACCATGTGGTCGTTCGAAGTAGCAGTTCTTACCCAAAACCTTAAGCAAGTATTCGTGCCTTACAGCTTTGTCATGAAACGGAGTCACCGTTACGGATTTCTTCACAGTTTTGTGAAGGCAGACTAAAGATGTTGAGATCAGGAAGGGCTTACCTTTGTTATGCTGAACGGCATGTTATGAACCAATTTGGAGGGCATTTTGGTTTTCACAAGCTCCCAAGTACTCCCAAGGATAAGCAAACGGCTCCTCGCCGTGTTTTATCACTTTTAGAGGATACAAATACAGACACCTTTGGCGCAGGGGGCAGGGAACGGAGATACATGCCTGCATACATAACAATGAGCATCCTCAGGAATAACAATAACATTCTCTGTAGGGAAAAGGCTGAGAATAATGCATAAGGGGGGGGGGCTGTTTCCTGGTTTTGCCTCGGGCCCACTAATCATTAAAGGAGCCCCTGGTCTGCTGTAAATTTACATCAGCCAGCTATTAAGTTCCAGTTCACATTCAAATTAACTTTTTTTGCATGACAGACGCTTTTCACATGAAGCTCAACACAGTTAAAGAACACAAGCAGTATGAGAATAAGTATTACAAGTATATGATAGGCACAGTATGTATCCTTAGGACATGTCCATGTATGTTAATGTGCACGTGTGTGTGTGTGTGAGAGAGAGGACCTTATGTGCGTGCTGAGTGCATGCCAACCCCCCAGCCCAGCAGTACTCATCCCCGCATCACAGGCACAAGCGCGCGCGCATTGGCTGCGAGAGAGAGAGAGAGAGAGAGGGAGAGAGACCGACTCCCGTTTTGTTGCACGAGGAAAGGAGTCGCGAGGAGCCCCTGATGACAGACAGACAGCAGATCTGCTGCCTCGCTGACTGCGACACCTGAACAATCACCAAACAGATGAAGGAGAGCCAACTGTAGGCGAGGAGGAGGAGGAGGAGCGGGGGCTTTCCTAAACAAATAATAATAATAAAGAAGAAGAGAAGGAGAGGAAAGCGGGGGCAGGCAGCAGTCAGCCGGCTGGCCGGGACACGGAGCCCGAGCAGGGGGGAGAAATCCACCGCCACGACCGTCACATCACATCACAGCACCGGGATGACAAAGGTGGGTGACCGTGTGTTCCCATTCTGTAACACCAGCATCCCTGTCCTACATGGCGCCTTTAATCCCCACAGTAGACGAGTAGTCGACGTGTCTGGTGTCCCGTTTACATTTTAAAAAAGGAAACCGGGGCCGGTGTGGCAGCTTCATTGAGACTCGTTTAGGTGTGTTTCTGTTTGTGCCAGCGCTCCGCTCCGTACTCCGCTCTCTGCCTCCTCGCGCCCCGGTGCGGACCGTTACGCGCCAACAGCCGCGCCGTTTTGTAATAAAAAGAGGATTCATGGCTGAGCGGATGACACTTTGTCTTCAGGGGAATGCATTCGCGGCACCGACATGTGTGCCATTTGGAGATGCGCCGCCGGCGGAGTGATCTCACTCAGCACGCCCCCCCCCCCACAAAGAAAAATCTATTCTGATCTGGCCCACATTACGCAGTGTGAGACCTTTTGAGGAGATTTTATTGTTTTGTTTATGTCCTGTTACAAGCTTCGCGCGTGTTTGTGTTGAGGAGGATGATGATGGAAGATGAAGGGGCGGGGGGGGGTATCGTGATTGTCTCCTTGAGCGCCCGAGGCTTCTTGTCTGGATGATTGATTTCGCCTGTTCATTCAGATTATGAGTGTGTAAACACCTTTAGCCGGCAAATTAATTAAATTTATCAAATATTATCAAAGCAAATGTTATCAGCGTGAACTCTTTTTTTTTTTTTGTGCACCCCGGAGGAACAATTAATGACAAACTATTTATATCTGGAGCTTTGCTGGATGAGGTGTCCCCAATTGTTGCATGTGTGCTCAATATTTTCCATAACGCAGATTTGATCCATTAGTTGATTGGTTTAGTGTTGGATGCAAGTTGGCTGAAGTTTTTTTTTTTTTCCATCTGCTCTGTTTGATGTTACAACATCAATTAGATGTGTGGTCAATATGTCATCCAGGTTTGTATTCAAAGCAGCTGGCAGGCTGAATGTGGCAGCATTGCTAATGAAGAGCTACAACACCATGCAGGGAGAAGCTTGTTTGGTAAAATATTCAGGATAGTATACGCATAGATTTGACAATGGACAAGAAATTCATCTAGCACAAAAATCACAAATACATCTGCATTCAGGATATTTTTAGACACTCATTTTTGATAAAGAGATCCTCTCCTCTCCCCCCAAAAAACCCATGAATGCCAGGAAGAGCAACAGCGGAGGGATCCTTCCTCCAGCACAGACAGACAACACAAGATAATCGACAAAAGAGTCCTTTATTAAACAGAACACAAAAGCATATTTCTGCAGCTTCTCAAATGCGAGAGACTTTCTTCTCTGTTTTGTGTCACTATAAATTAAATATATATCAGGTTTTTTTGTTTTACTGTCAGTCGGACAAAACAAGCAGAGACATGGGGAAGCTGTGATGGCACTTTTCTCTGTAGTGGACAAATCAGCAGGGGGCACACAGACACACACACACATTCATACATTCTTTGCAGGTGATGGGCACACTGATATATCTCCCTAATTATTCTTTGCTTTTACCAAATAAACCGGACTACAGACAAATGTGCTCCGTTCCCACTTCTGTCCTGTCCTGTCTGTCTGTCCGTCTACCTCGCCTTGTGTCTGTCCCTTCTCCTCCTCTGTGTCTTCAGTAAGTAGGTTAGGAGAAGGGAGGGGAGGTGACTTAATAAACCCTTTTTTTTTTGCGTCAGGTCATTTACAAGCACGGACCTGAAAAGGTTCCTTTTTTTTTTCCTCCCCAGCATGTCCGCAAGAAAGGCACAAGACCGAGTGATGAATGTGTGCTCTGTTTGTTGAATAGCAACGCAGGGAATAACAATGGAGACAAAGAGGGGGGGGGGGGGGGGGGTTAGAACAGTGACACACCTCTAATAAAAACACACATACACACACGCGCACACGAAATGTCTGGAAAAAAAGTCAATATGATAAAGTGCTGACTAAGACTCACTGCATCGGTATGTTAAACCTCATCAGAAGAGTCTTCTGAGACCAAGGGCGCCCTTTAAAGGCCGGAGTTCTGGGAAAGGAGTTTATTTATACAATGTGGACTGTGAACTACAGCTCTGTGGCTGCTTTGCTGCACAGCGCAGCGTCCTCGAAGACGGTCGGGCCCCGAGCCAAAAGAGCAGCTCTGTTTTACAGCCTTCCCCCCCGGGAGCAAAAAGGACTCAGAAATGTTGGTATGTCACATAAATTCCTCAATTTGTCCGAGTCTCTGTCACGCTGTTTGCACGTGTTGTCTTCAATTTGAATGTTTGAAGGTTCAGAGAGCCAGCATGGGAAAACGCCTGAGTGCCGTTGAGCAACAGAATCCGAACCCTAAGTAGATGAATAGGAGCTCGCTTAAAGCCAAGTCGCAAAATCAGCACAATAACAAAATATTACAAGTTACTTCTTAGATCGATAGATACTTAAATGATAATTTCTCGCCATTTATCAAGTACAAATTTCAAACCTTTGATAGTGGCGGCAAACCTGACCTGCCAGGGCGGCTTCCGCAACCATCTCAGAAGCCATCAGTGGGATCTGTTTGGTGATTTGATGAACCGTCAATCAAATGCCGAAGCCATTCGGGAGAAGAGCGAAAACATCTGCTCCATTAAGAAAAGCCAGCAGCGTCGTTCTTCGCTCTTTTTTTAATGAATAAATACTCTCCAGTTCTGATATAACGGATGCTACAGCAGCATCTTCGCTAATCGCCATTATTGTTTTGAACAAAAGGCCTCTCCGTGTCATCTCGCACACATCTAAAGCATTCCAGTAGCTCCTCACACGACACCTTGCTTGATCTCGTGACATCGCGTGAATCCAGCTGCCGTGCAAAGTGACAGTCACAGCCTCTGCAATTTACAATTCTTTCTGCCATTAATGGACTTACCGTTAATGATATGACCAGAAGTCGTGCAAAATGGTCAATTGTTCAGAAATCAAATCGCTTGTTTTGTCAACCAGCAGTCCAAACCCCAAATACATCATGTCATGTCCATCCAATCCTCACGTTTGAGAGTCTGCTAGATAAATTACTTAAATGTTCTGTCAGTCAACTAATCAAGTTATCAATTAATAGTTTTTAGTGAAAGGTCAAGTTAGTATTTTAAAGGATAAAGTTGATAGATGGATAGTATAAAAAGTCGTAATTTTCGGTAGAATCAGATCCAGAGTCATTTAATTCACCTTGAAGCGTTATTTAAACTTTATTTAACCCAGTGAGCCCACTAAGATGTCGCTATTACGACGTCTTGAGAAGAGGCGAAAAGCCCTCCTGATGGTGGTTTGGGGAGAATAAGGGGAGCAGGAAAAAAAGAAACGCAACAGCAGCAGTAAAGCTTTAAAGGAACGGTAAAGCAGAGCCGAGCTGCAGGGTCTCGTGAGAATGTGCACACATGAAAAAAACAACAACAAACACCAGCAAGCAGAACATCTTACAGAGGGGCAGCGCAGAGAAGAGAAATGTCGTCTTTCTTCTCGGCACAGACGGGTAGCGCTGGTGATCAGCAGGTCCTCTTAGTGGGTATTAGTGGAGGTTCAGGACTGGTGTTTAAGATGGACCTGAGTGATTAGAGAGCTTGTGATTAAAAATTAACTTGCGGGCATCTCAGCTCGCCGCAGAGAACTGAGGGAATGTGTGTGTGTGTATGTGTGTGTGTGTTTCCATTTATCTTGCAACATGTGGATGTGAGCCCAAGCAAGATTAATGGTCCATGTTAACAAACCTCTTGGTTTGACCCTGGCTGGCCCTGGCAAAAAACACACACACCATTTCGCCACTTCATCCCCCTGTAGGGTTAATGCCGGCCCTCTTTGCAGAAGCACACAAGCACACACACACACACACACACACACACACACACACAAACAAAACATTGAACACTGGCCAACTTTCAGCCACTTTGATGCATTAGTACAAAGGTGCTTTTTTTTCTTTTTTTTTTGTCTCGTTGTTGCTTGGGACCAAATTGATTTTGATGTGCAGGCACGCCCGTGCATGCACACACGAAAATGCTACCGTATTTCAGATTTGAGGTGAGATTAGAGGGAGTGTGTGAAGTTCAAAATGACCTCTCACCCCCCACTCGCTGTCGCTTATTATTGAGTCACATAGCCCCTAGAGAGAGCCCATTAACTCCCCCAGCTGAATAAGAGGAAGACACGTTCTCAAATGTTCACATGGAGGCTTCAAAAATCTTTCTCAAATGATGAAAAATTGAGTCTGAAGCGCTCTTTATCCCAGGTCAAAATATTTAAAAAGGCTTTTATTGTGGCACCTGTCAGCCGCGGTTCTGACCGCGGCCGCCGGCGCCAGATGGAGACAGATGGACGAGGGTTTTGTCGGGGTCTGGGCCCGGCTCCAGGGAGCTGCCCTTGGCGCGAATGTTTTCATCTACTTGTAGATGTCCGACAGCCAGATGCCAGCAGACCCTGGATTAAAATGGTCTGGGCAGGAAGATTATGGGAGCAAAATCCTGTATCTGGACGGCCCTGCTGTTCGGCACACAACACGAAATGCATTATTTATTATTATGACTTAGAGCATCTCAGTTTGGTTGTTGTTGCTGAAACTTCTCTGTGTGAGTCGTCCCTGGTGAACGGACAAAATTCAGAGCTTGACCGGGATTATTTTAGGACTGTGATTATCTGACCTTCAGTGTTTTGAGAAACCAAAGCCCACATACATGTAGTAAATCTGAAATTATTCAATATAATACTTTTTTCGTGCTTTCTTTATCTTATTTTTGACTGGGGTTTAGTTCAAGCATCTTTTTAGGACAATATTTATAGTGGAAAAATCACAGAAACCTTTTTTCAACCTGGAGTACTTTCAGCTGATTTTCTTTCAGGCTGCATACTGCACTGCCCAAAAACACCCAGCACTAAGGTAGGCAGCCTGTATGTAGCCTGAAAGGCAAAACTCAGGGCAAAGAAATACACCCAAAAAGTCAGGACTCAAGCATATCTAACACAAAAAAGAAAAAGAGAAGGTGAAGATGTTATA